ATTGGTTTTGGAAATTAGAAGTCTTAAGTTAAAGGTTGCACATTTAACCAAGGAGAACATTTATCTTCGGTCCTTGTTACCATCACAAGTATAGGAAGAAAAACAATGTGATGAAGAAGATCAACCTGACGAAGGTGATAGGAAGATTCGCTCAAGGTGAGAAAAAAAGAAAGCTCATATTTTGTGTTCACCATTTGTTAACGAAGGAGCAAAAATGATTGAGAAAATGCACACAATTGATGTAGATAGTACAATATCACCATCAAATAAGGAGGTATATTTCCATATCGTATCTATTAAATATGATGGGTTGGCAAAACAAGTTTAACAACCTAGCAACATTTTATATTTCAGGTCATCGATGGAAAGAGATTATGGAGATCCTACAACTTCAAATGCCAGTTATCTAAGAGTCAACAATCAACTATTAGACGGTTTCTATCAGCTCCAATTACTAGGTTGATTACACATGCATTAGACATAGGTAAATAGAACACCCCTGATTTATTAAGTTATTAATACAATTTCCACATATGCAGTGAAATTATTTGAACTGATGGAACCAACAGCTTGGCCGGGGTATACTTGTACTCACTATTTGATGGTGTATGTAACTCTTGCAGTAGATTTTTTTCACCTATAATAACTATATATTTGTTATAATTTGTATATAACTATTGGACTGTCTTTATTTTTTTTTGTAGGCCATAAATGCGTATGGATGTCTTTTAATTGAAAGGGAGCGGCAAAAATTGGGCAATGCTAAATGTGAGAGGTTCTTATATATTAGCACATTTGCACAGGTAATGGGTTTTAACCATTTTTCTCTTTTCAAATACATATATCAAAAAATGGTTAAAACAGGTGATGATGCTGCAATAAAGCCCTATATTGGCCCTCTTCTAAGGCAACGGTATGGCAAAGTATTTATACCCTTGCAAAGTAATGGGCATTGGTATATTTTGGTAATAAACGGGGATAGCGACTGCATTGAATGGTATAGTTCAATTCGGTTTACTATATACAAGCAATTTGCTAGAATAGTGGTATGCGTATATGCATTGCAATATTTTCATGTGCAAGTGTTTTTGTATTAATCCATAATCATCATTGACTTTGTAATCAATATTTGTTTTAGTCCAACTACTACAGAAGTAAATTTTTAGGAGTGGGGTTTACAAGTAAATAGGGATTTAAAGTATGCAATGATACTCCATCCCAACATGCCAATAGGTATGATTATCATGTTGTTTACCATCAGTATTTATTATACTGATACATATCTTAAGTATTGCAAAGTAACTTCACCATACGTGTTGTGCAGGACCGAATGTGGGTTTTTTATAATGAATCACATGGATTGTTTATGTCGAGATGCCCCATGGGATTTTGCCTTCAATGATACAATAATTTTACGGTGGAAGATTGGTGCACAAATATTGCAATCCCAGTTAGAATAAACCATCACTAGCTCATTCAGGTCATCCACCCATCTATACAACTGTGTGTGTCACAACGAAATAGTGTATTAATTATATTAATTATCTGTGATGTATTACTTGTGGTGTATGAGTTACACCAATATGGTTTGGAACTTTTGCCATTTGCTTTTCTATTGACACCAATCAATTCTTGGATAAAGATGGTGCAAAACTTGCTTCGTGTAAGGTCTCAATGGCAATAGAGGTGGAATTTCAAGCTATGCCAAAAAATTAAGCCAATGCTCATCTTGATTACATCTTATCAATATTGCTATAAAGGCATGCGATGCTATTGAGGCATGAGTTAGAAAGATTGAGACCCTTTCTTGTTCATAGTGTTTAACTAGTGAACTTTATATTAGATGAGTCTGAATAGATAGTGAACTTTATATTAAATGAGTTTGAATATTATATTAGACATCAAAACTAAATACGTAAGAACATTCATTCTTAAACTTATAAGCATTATAAGCTAGTAGATGGGCATATGAGTTTGACAGTCTAGATATAGTATGTACATACTCAAAATATTTAATTAGGTTCAGAGTGAAATCATTAAAATTCTTCATAGACCAGCCCACCTCTATGTCTTTGATAGTTGCATCTGTAATACTAGTAGAGTTGCAAAAAAACATCATATGTTTTGCTCTCAATCTCTTGGCTTTGATTAAACCATCAATTACAGCCCTTCATTTAGATTGAGCTGCAACCGATTATTTTTCTGTTTGTATAGATAGAAGACAAGTCTTCATACATTATCATTAAAGTTGTACTTCCTATTAGATTCTTCTTCTTTTTAGCATCTCATATCAGTTTTATTATAATTAGAAACTTTTCCAATAACAATTGTACCTCCTACCTTTGGTAGGTGAGATAATTTAACAAGAAGAACTTATTGATTGAGGTTGATGGGGATCCGAATGGGATCTTTCACTTGCATATCCTACATTCATGTCTTTATTCACACTAGCCAAAGTTGTTGATCTGCTAAGTTTGCTTCAATACCAAACAACTAACCTTTCATCTTATGGACTAATTTCAAATATATCTCATCTATAAACAACCGAGTATTAGGTTTTGAAAGTTAATTTAATATGCTTAATGGATATTATTCAATGCAATTCATATACATGCTTGTTGTACTTTATTTTGTGCATTGCTAAAGTATGTATTAATTCATTTCTTTGTATTAGTTGTAAAGAAAGATTGTGAATTAGTTTTAGCTGCTCATATATTGATGCTAATCAATTTTTATTGGTCACAGGTGGTGGTGCTCTTTGGAATGTATCAAGTGATTTGTAATGGAGCTTCAATCTACCTACAAAACTTTGTTCTTCCTAATGGAGGTGGAACCAAAAGCAATATCATACTTTCGGATGTAACATTTATTTTGATCTCTCTTAATGGCGAATAAAAATAATGTTCAGTGTTTTTTGGACAGGCATATCATATCTACTAGGGATGATTTGTTAAATTTATTTTGCTAAATTCATATGTATAGTAATTACTGTAAATACCAAAAAAATTGTCATAAGGACTATTATGGTGTTGGTTAAATATTTTTTGACGATGGAGTTATTACTCACTTGCAGTGTTTTTGACAATGGTGTGATTGTTAATTCCACATTAGACTACGATTCAATATTGGCCTGATGGGCTAAAATGCCCAACTTGATATATATTTATGTAGATAGATGTGAAGTGTTGAATGAAAAAAGTAAAACATGAGACCATGCTCACCACCTCCTAAATGAACATTTATCAAACAAGGAGGTTATGCAGGTGGATGTGATAGCTTGATGGGATAAAATGCCCAACTTCATTCATGTAATGGTTATACATGCCTTAACAACCACCTTAGTAAAGATTTACCAAGATGGAATTCGAGGTGTTGGTTAAGTTTATCTAAGAGAACATATCATCTGCAATTGGAACATCTGTTTCGTATGAATTAACTAATAACAATTGGTGAAATAGTGTCTATTATTATGTGTTTACCCTTTCCTCAATGGCCATTTTCTAAGGAGCCCATATTATTGAAATTTACCAGGTTGGCTCATATGATTACAAGTTGCCAAATAGCCATCTAGCAACAGATGTTGATCATTACATCAGCTACCCCCATTTCCCAGTGGCCACGAAGAAGAGTAACTAAATAATTTTGCTGGTAGTGCCCCATCCTGGTTATCCTAATCCCATTCAATGAAAAGAAAACTTTGGTAGATGTTGGGGAGAAGCGGTTGAATTCACCATAGTGGAAACAAAGGAAGGCACTATGGTGAACGAAAACTGGCTCTTAAGGTGCAACCATTTGATTATATTCCACTTTACTGACCTCTACTGCAATAAGCAAGAAAGGTAAGCAAAAAACAAGTTTAAATAGTTGAACTACAACTTTGATTTAAAAAAAATTAGAATTTGATATAAAAATTGTGGTCCAATTTTGGTGTTCTACAACGTGAATGTTTTTTCTTTCACTTGTTTTTGAAATTGACACATTGGCTAAAAACCAAAAACTAGTTCTTGAACCTTGTCTTTATTTGGAAAAGCAAGAACAAGTTGGTTTTGTTCCAAAAACAATTCATGTTTTTGAAATCATCAAAATACTAGTTTTTAGACAAAAACAACTATTGGAATACAAATATTGTATAATTTATAAGATATACTTTTTAAATCTCTTGATTTTTTAAGGCAAAAAAAATCATTCTATTAGTTTATGAACGTACATGAAGAAGACTCATATTCAGTATATAGGGCTTTTTCAGCCCTTTGACAAGTTGCATAAGCTAGAGCATGGGATAGTTGGTTTTTTTCTCTATTGACACATAATATTTGCATCCAAAAAAATACTTAACTAGTATATATTCTACAATATGTTTATATTGTCAGAAGAGTCCTACTTGAGGATGATGAATTAATTTGACTATTAATGAGGCATCAGAATAGAGCAAAATAATGTTGAGTCTTTGATTTTTGGACTGCATCATATTTAGATTCCTAATGAGGAAAAGCACAAAATTGCATAAATGGCGCTAGGCTCCTAGATTTATTTTCCTCCAGGTTGATGGTTCTAAAAGTATCTTGACTTTTAAGGGATCAACCTCCATTTACTAGCATCCAAGAAGATGCAAGCTTTGAGTGACAGGTGATTCTATGTTTAATTTATACTATAGGTTATGTTGCTTGCAGATTCTTGGTAACAGCTTTATGCTATCCAAATACCCGTGTTATCAAATTGATGATGATCAACCCAAAAGTTGGTGCAAGTTTCTCACCTGGTGGCACAATAGGCATGTTTCTAAAGAAACATCAAAATCAGAGGTACAAGAGGGTTCTAAAAGCTGGTGTTTTTATTACTAATTCCAAGTTCTATTTTTGGCACAGGTTGCAAAATATTACACTACTACTTACAAAAAATACAATTACTACACAAAAAATTCAAAGTGTAAGACATTTACAGTACCAAAAGACAAGACAAAAACTTGTACCTGTGCTTATAATACTTGGGAATGCATCCAACTAATCGATTGCAGCTCGACAAGTGCGTCGGTAGTGACCACTTTCTCTACACCGACTACAATGAATTTCCCTCCTTTCAATTGGTTGTGATTCAATTCTTTTAGTCCTAAGTCGACCAGGTTGGCGTTTTTGCTTTGGTGGCAACAAGTTCACAACATTATGATTAACACCATTGCTCATAAAAGAAACTGACTCATTACTGAAATCAGGCATATCTGAATTAGGCATCGCAAATATGTGTTTGGAGTAAATTGCCTGTTGAATTTTTTTCAAATAGCACTCTTCAACAAAATCATAAATGTTTAGGCCCAATAAACCAATGGCACGACATGCATGCACACATGGTAATCCAACCATTTGCCATGCCTTACATGAACAACTTCTAGAAGTCAGGTGCATCATTTCTTGTTTTCCCTTATAGCGAATTTCAAATTCATCATCCCCACATTGTGTGTATCCTAAATTTATGGACTCTGATATGTTAAATTTAAGAAAATCCTCTATATTAGGGCCCACTGGCTGTTTATATCCCTTAGCTTCACATTGCCTCCTAAATGTCAACTCTGTCATTTTCAATCGAATTATGTTGACTAAGGACATGATAGGTTGTTCCCGTGCCTCTAACACCCATGCATTAAATGAATCTACAAGATTAGATGTAAACTTATCATACCGTCTACCCTTGAATAGAGAATTTGCCCAATGTGGCGGATCACTATCTATTATCCAACCATAGATATCCAAATTCTGATTATGTATTTTACTAAGATATTGATCAAACTTCACGGTATCCCTTGTATAAATTAATTGATTCACATAATCCTCGATTACCTATTTTTCAGCCTTTAATAAGCATAGATGACACATGCATCCCTTAAGGTTCTCCATCAAATGTCTTGAACAAAAAACATGATATTCAGAGTCAAACACAGTTTCTACTATATGTTGAATGCTAGTGTTACGGTCAGAAACAATTACTAACTTTCGATCATCATTCAATGCAAATTTCAAATTCTCTAAAAACCAAGTCCAATATGGAATTGACTCAGATGAAACAACTGCGAACGCAACTGGAAACATTTGATTATTCGCTTCATATGCATTGACAGCTAATAATTGACCTTGATAGTTACCCTTCAAATGGGCCGCATCAATGAATAGCATTGGATGATAACCAACTCGAAAGCCATGTAATGATGAGTTGAAAGCAACAAATAATTTATTAAACCTACCTTCAAATGGGCCGCATCAATTAGTCTCTCTTTCCCCCGCCATGCTTGTTTATAAGTCAGTGAAATGGCATGATCACGACTAAAATCGTTTATTATATCTGATGGAAGATACTTAGGAGAATCACGAAGCTTTTCCAACAAAACAACACTTATGAATTTATTTGATATACGAAATTGACAACTTGATTCATCACCAGCTGAATGTGTATGTATGGGACTATACTTATACACCCTGTATGTTGGTTCGCCACTAACTGCACTTGCTCGAATTTCCCATCTACAAGTGTTAACAACACATCTACATTGTATGTATTCTCTATCATTCTTTAGAAACTTATATGCAAATCTTCTAGCAATGGAAAATTTTTTTAGTGCATTTTGAAAATCATCTCCACTGTCAAATGTTTGCCCCACTCCAATTATCTCATGCTCCCAAACTGCTAACAAATTGGCATGATTGCTGATGTTAAGCTCACTTGTTGATTGTCTAGAAGATGTTGCCAAATCATGTACAATATGTACATGAGGACTTGGCTGAGTTTCAACATTAATTTGCTCTATGCCTTCCAAAACACATGCACCTTTGCACTCTCATTATTAAACTCCAATAGATTTGAAAGGTCACGTGGCCCATTTAATGGCAAGAAGCATGTTTTGTTGAAATGTGTTGTATAATGTAAGCTCACGCTATTAGCATGAACCTTCAAACCACCACACACTTCATCAACAAATTCATTAAAATCTGTTTGACTGTCAACACGAACTCCAATTATATTATCCTCAAAAGTGCAATAACATAATAAGACCTTGCGTAGAGTTGTTGCCATTTGTACATAATAAACAATATGAAAACCTTGTCATAAATCAGAATAAAGACATGAAGATATAAATTTAAATAAAGAGGCTATGCGATCTTGTAAATATTACGAATTGTGTATCTAATTTTATCACTGTGAATTATTCAACCCATATTAATCTTTTATCCCATTTAAATAAAGACATGAACATACTCTGCATTTCAGCATTTGCTTTCTCTTCAAATATGATTTCTAAGGTAGATAATTTATAAATTGGAAAGGAAAAGCAGTATCATCATTTCTTTCATTTCTTTAATATATAATTTATACATACTTTGTATTTCACCATTTGCACTCTCTTTAATATATAATTTATACATACTCTGTACCATGTGATAATAAAAGAATGTTTTGGAAACAAACAATATCTTTTGACTTTTGGAAACAAACAATAAAGACATCTAAAAGCCTTTGGAAACAAACAATATATTTTGACAATAAAATAATACCTTGGTTTGTATTATTGGACTGTGATGGAGGTTCTTTGGAGAAAAATGATATCTTAATGGCCCATTGGGTGATGTTTTATCTTTGGGTGATGCTTTATCACTTCCTAAAATATTATTTTTTCAAATGAATTTTATCTTATTCTTCAACAAAAAAAAAAAAAACAAATCTTATTGGCCCCTTGGCAAATAAGGTGCCAAATGTGCCAACCTAGTAACCATCATCTAACTTGGTAAAAATTTACCAAGATGGAGTTAAAATGACTATTTTTAATATAAAGACATTCGAAAGCCTTTGGAAACAAACAATGTCTTTTGACAATAAAATAATACCTTGGTTTGTATTATCGGACTATGATGGAGGTTCTTTGGAGAAAAAAGATTATTATATTTTGTTAGAGACGGGGCCAAATGTGTCAACCTGGTAAGCATCATCTAACTTGGTAAAACTTTACCATGATAGAATTAAAATGACAATTTGAAATATAATGACATGCAAAAGCCATAGAAAAGAAGCAAGATCTTGTGACAATAAAGAAATATTTTGGTTTGTTGCTTGGGCTATGATAGAGGTTGTTTAGAGAAAATATGATAAGATTTTGCCATTTGGTTCTACGGGTATTAGTATGGGATCCGTGAGATTAAGGTTAGGCTTTTGAAATTCTTTATGGATTATCACCATCCTAATGTATTTTCTCCTAATGAATTTTATATTATTCATCAACAAAAAAAAAAACAAATCTTATTGGCCCCTTCGCAAATAAGGTGTCAAATGTGCCAACCTAGTAACCATCACCTAACTTGGTAAAAATTTACCAAGATGGAGTTAAAATGATTATTTTTAATATAAAGACGTCCGAAAGCCTTTGGAAACAAACAATGTTTTTTGACAATAAAATAATACATTGGTTTGTATTATCGGACTGTGATGGAGGTTCTTTGGAGAAAAGATTATCAGATTTTGCCATTCAGTTTTAGGGGTATTAGTATGAGACCAGTGGTTTGTATGAATTTTATCTTATTCTTCTTAAAAATTTACATGGCCCCTTGGCAAATGTAGGGCAAAATGTGCCAACTTGGTAAGCATCATCTAATTTGGTAAAAAATTATCAAGATGCAATTAAAATGACAATTTTTAATATAAGGAGCTGCAAAAACCATTGCAAACAAGGAATATCAGTTGGAAATAAAGGAATATCTCAATTCGTTTTAACATAAGGAGCTGCAAAATCCATTAATCATCATCTTCGATATTATTTCATTTACTTTATGAAAAATTTAGGTCGAAGAAATGATTGAGCTTAAGAGTTGCTGCTTAGTCCAAGCCATTGAATATATTTGTATGAGGGGGCCATTGGCGGTGCAATTGTAATGTCCTGGAATGCCAAGCAAGATAATGTTGGCTTCAGTTTTGTCTAAAACTGCCAAAGATTATGACTTAATTCTGGATTGCCAATCCTTAGGATCATTGTAAGGTAAAGTCCCTTTATTGGATGGTTGGATAAGAACTTATGTCTGGAATACGAAAACCAAGATTCAATTCAATGTAATGTACACTGCAATACTCTCCCTTATTTAGTTCTCTTGTGACAATAAAGGAATATTTTGGTTTGTTTCTTGGACTGTGATAGAGGTTGTTTAGAGAAAATATGATAAGATTTTGCCATTCGGTTCTACGGGTATTAGTATGGGACTTGTGAGATCAAAATTGGGCTTTTGGAATTTTTTATGGATTATCACCATCCTAATGTATTTTTTCCTAATGAATTTTATCTTATTCTTCAACAAAAAAAAAACAAATCTTATTGGCCCCTTGGCAAATAAGGTGCCAAATGTGCCAACCTAGTAACCATCACCTAATTACTGTCTTTGATTTGAGGACATTCAACTTACAAA